AGGGGCAGTTTGAGTGATCTGTGCATGTGACCCACCACCCCACCAAGGCCTTGCTAGACTCAGACAGCATAGTAATGCTTGTGCATGCGAGACTGATTTGAAAAATTGGATTTTCAGGTAAAGCCCTCCATGCTGTATGTATACACAGGGACATTAGGGAGTACCAACTAGTGCCAGTGTCAATTTCCACTGCCTGTGGCACTGTCGCCTTTTGTTTTGGAAACTGCGGGAGTGTATGGGAAGTGAACTTACTATACATCCCAATGACTTCAAGACTCAACACATGAAGGGAACAATATAGACACAGACGCAAAAGGTAATTGATGATGACAATGTTCCAGGTCTACAGATTGAGCTGACATCTAAGGGAAGTAACCTTCTCCATTACAGGTCATGGTCAGGGAAGGATGATGAGGAAACCTCTTTAATTCTAGCACATTCTGACAGAATGTGTCAAGGAAGGCATTTGGTGCTTTCTAAATCTGGAATCCCACACTGGTAAATGTTAGACATACTGTTGTTCCATAGTGTTCCACAATTGCCTACTAGTAACAAGAGATTTCCTCATTTGCAGTTAATTGTGATGTACTATATCAAGTTATAGAAGTATGCAGTGAGATTGTAAAGCAGTTGCTGGTTCCTTTACTATATGGGTCAATGGTGCTCAATTTAGCTCACAATGGCACACTGGGGGTACAAATGGGGTTTGCAAAAACAGAGGCAGGGATAACCAATTATACTGGCTGTGATTAATGGGCGAGGTTAAGTGATACTGTATTTCCTGCCCCACTTGCCGATTATCTGCTCCAGTGTCACACTTCTGAAACCCCTTAGTACCTCTGTCTATAATCAAAGTACAATTTGAGTGCAATGGATCTGGTGGATCCCTAGTAAAATAGGCTAGGGGACACCAATATATACTGGTAGCACTCAGATACAGTATGTGACTAGGCATCCCAAAGGTGTTCTTGTAAGAAATACCTCCTCTAAGACTATTGCACAGGAGCTCTTCCATATGTTCTAAAGAACAGGATTTCTCAAGGAGATCCAGACAGCCAAGGCACCCCCTATTATGTTGAAGATAATGGCAGTCTTGTGCAAAATGTTTCAAATTAAGCAATTGCAGAATTCTGTTTATCACCACCAGGCAGGTGGCCTAATCGAGAGGTTTAACAAAACTCTTAGGTCCATGCTTAAGAGGATAGTCAAAACCCTAAATTCTCCCCTGGCCTACAGGAGGCCACCTTTACCTCACACTGCCAAAACAAAATGTACTTCATGAAACAGTACACCCAGACTCGGCATTGATAGATGGGTCCCAGCCCTTCAGCAGTTGTTGACACTTCAATTTTCCTATATTCTGAAGTCACTAACAGATGCCTCCTTGTTCGCTCTCTCTCTAGTTCTGTGCGAGCGGTATTGTCGCTCGGAAGGCCCCATCAGACATAATTTGTCTTTTATTTATAAGCTTCTACCTACAGAATCTTCTTATAAAATATCAAGAAGCTGGATATAAAATTGTCACACGGTGATATCCGTCGCCTGCAACATTACATTGTATGTATCCTTCAGTGCCTGAGAGTTGTTGGCTTTGTGGTGTGGAAAGGGGAGATATGCTACATATATTTTGGTTGCATCCAGTTCTTCAGACTTTCTGGAGACAAGTTCACACTATCATACAAAAGTTCACTGATAGACCTGTGCCCTATACACCTGCATTTTTTCTCCTACACCATACTTAAATTCCATTAAAGGTATATAAAAAAATCAGTAGTGAGACACTTAGTCAATGCTGCTCATTCCTGCAGTGGTTTTATTACATAGTTACATAGATAGTCTGGTTGAAAAAAAGAAAGTCCTTCTATTTCAACCAATAACAAGGGGAAAAAAAGCAGCAGCAAAGCATGATCCAATTCAATCAGCAGGGGGAAAAAATTACTTCCTAGAGGCAATTGGATATTCCATGGATCAACTTTACCTATAAATGTACGTATCCAGATATATTATGTGCATTTAGGAAAAACTCCAGGCCTTTTAAAAGCAATATAGTGAACTGTCCAGAACCAGCTCTTGAGGGAGTCTATTCCACATTCTCCCAGCTCTTACTGTGAAAAAAGCCATTCCGTAGTTGGGATTAAATCCCTTTTCCTCCAGACGTAAAGAATGCCCCTTTGTCCTCGGTGATGACTTTAAAGTGAACAATTTTACACCAAGTTCACTATATGGACCACCTATGTTTTTTATACATGTTGATCATATTCCTCCTTAATCTCCTTTTCCCAAGAGAGAATAAATTCAGTTCCTCTAATCTTTCCTCATAGTTGAGCTCCTCCATGCCTCTTATCAGTTTGGTTACCCTTCTCTGCACTTCAGTTCTCTGATCTTTTTGTGAGATGGTGCCCAAAACTGAACTGAAGTCTTACTAATGATTTGTACAGGGGTAAAATATCTCTCTCTGCAGTCTATTCTTCTCTTAGGTGTCCTTTTATCATGCAGTGGTAAATGACGCTGCTCAGTTTTCCGGCATTCTCAGAGAAGAGAGTTCTCCTCTGAATTCCTTTTTATGAAGCTGTGTAGATCACTTCTCCGAATGAAGGGGAGAAGCGATCTACAAACGGTTTGAACGCTGGAAAACGGCTGCTTTTACAATAATCTCGCTTAAAGTAAGAGATCAGTCAAACAACGTTTACTAAGCAGTGGTAAATTATTGCTGCTTTGTTTACGGTTCCTCCAATTCTCCAGCTCTGGGCTGAAGAATCTGGAGAGAGAACACAGATAGCAAGTGAAGGGCTGACATCGCTCCTTCATACACTGGCCATCTGTGAGCTGAGATGATCAGCGGAGAACATGTTCTCCGCTGATCATCTCTGTTTCCTAAACCACTAATGATCAGAGATCAGCAACGATCCTCAGGATCGCCGCTGATCTCTGTTTCATTAAAGGATACCTTAATACAAGAAAGGATTATGCATGCTTTGGAAACCGCAGCTTGGCATTGCATGCCATTGTTAAGCTTATGATCTATGAGAACATCCAGGTCCTCCTGCACCACTGATTCCCCCAGTTGTACTCCCCATAGTGTGTATGATGCATGCATATTTTTAGCCCCCAAGTGCAGAACCTTACATTTATCAACATTAAACCTCATTTGCCACATAGTTACCCAATTAAACAATGCTTGGCTTGTAAATTGGAGACATCCTGTAAAGGCGTTATTCCACTGCATAGTTTGGTGTAATCTGTAAAGACTGAAATGGTATTTTCAATCATAGACCCTATATGATTTATAAATATATTAAAAAGTAAGGGTCCCAACAGTGAACCTTGGGGTACTCCACTAAGACCTTAGACCAGGGGTGGGCAAACTTTTTGACTTGAGGGCCGCAATGGGTTCATATATTGGACCCGGGGGCCGGACCAAGAGTAGATGAATGATGTGTATGTGTGAATTAATATAAATTAAATTAAAATTTGTAACAATAAATGTTTAGATTATTTAAACACTACCATGCCATCCATAGTAAGTATAGTAATATTCCCCCATAGTAAGCATAGTAATTAATCCCCCATAGTAATTCATCCCCCATAGTAATTCATCCCCCATATAGTAATTCATCCCCCTATAGTAATTCATCCCCCCTATAGTAATTCATTCCCCATATTAATTCATCCCCCATATTAATTCATCCTCATATAGTATTTCATCCCCCATAGTACTATTCCCCCCAAGTAGTAAGCCAAGTCCCCCCTGTGTCAATTTACTTACCTTTGCTCCGCGCGTTCCTCTCGCCGAGTTCCCGCGCCGTTCCGGTCTTCAGGACGGACTGTGAGAGGAGCCTAGCTCCCCTCACGTTTGTCACGCTGCCCCGCCTACACACATCCTGACAGCCAATGTTTGCCTGCCCTGGCTGTTTTTTTTTTTTATCACGCTCCGCGGGGTCGGATTAAAAGGTCAGCCTGGGCCGTGTACGGCCCGCAGGCCGTAGTTTGCCCATTGCTGCCTTAGACCATTCAAAGTATGGATCATTAACCACTACTCTCTGAATACGATCTTTTAGCCAGTTTTCTATCCATTTACAAACGGATTCTTCCAAGCATGTAGACTTTACCTTACACATTAGCCATGTGTGGGGAACTGTGTCAAATGATTTTGCAAAATCCAAGTATACTACCTCCACAGCCACTCCTTTGTCTAGAGTTTCGCTTACTTCCTCATAAAAAGAAATACGATTTGTTTGACAACTTATGTCTTTCATGAATCCAAGCTGTCTCTTCCTTAAAATATTTTTTTAAAGTAACATGCCTATAGCTACTTGGTAAAGACTGACTCCTTTTTACATATTGGCACCACATTGGCCTTACGCCAATCCAGTGGTACTATGCCAGTCATTAAAGAGTCCCTAGAAATTAGAAACAATGGCTTTGAGATGACAAATCTAAATTAATTTAGGACCCGTGGGTGCCATCCGGTCCAGGTGCTTTATTCACCTTTATTCTGTCTTAATATTTCTGGATCATATCAATTTTGAGCCAATGTGGATCATCTGGGGCTGTGTCAGTACCATGCCCATTATGGACAAGAGCTCCCTCATGCTCCTTTGTATACACAGAGCTGAAGAGAAGGTATGTAATACATTTTCCTTATCTTTGTCCCCAATCACCCACTCTAGCTTATTTTGTAAAGGGCCTACATGCTCGGGCCTGACCTTTGTACTATTAATATATTTGAAGAATTTCTGGGGGTTTGTCCTTTGATGGCATCAGACCCCCAGCCCTTCTCACCAATTTGTGACTAGCCAATCTAAAACCCCGCTGTCATGTTTTTTATTTTTTCTTAAACAAACCAAAAACCACTGAAATTTTTGAAAAAAAATAATTTTTTTCTTAGTTTTTGTTATAACATTTTGTAAATAAGTGATTTTTCTCCTTCACTGATGTGTGCTAATGAGGCTGCAGTGATGGGCAATGATAGGCTGCACTGATGGGCACTGATGAGGAGGCACTGATGGGCATTGACAGGCATCACTGATGGGCACTGAAAGGCAGCACTGATATGATGGCACTGATAGGGCACTGACTGGCTGTTAGGCACACTGACTGGCACTGTTAGGCAGCACTGACTGGCAGCACTGATTGGCATTGATAGGTGGCATTGATGGGTGACACTGAAAGGCAGCTCAGATGGGCACTGATATGTGGCATTGATGTGCAATGGTAGGCACTGATATGTGGCATTGATGGGCACTGGCAGGTGGCACTGATGAGCACTGAGAGCTGGCACTGATGGACACTGACAGGTGGCACTGCTGGGGCTACACTGATCATCAGGGCACACTGATCATCAGTGCCCTGATGATCAGTGCACATGTCCCCTCCGAGGAATGCCAATTACCGGCTCTCCTCTCCTCACGAGCTGTCAGCGTGACAGCTTGTGAAGAGGGAAATGCCGATAACCAGCATTTCCCTGTTTACATGCTGTCAGCTGTGATTGGACACAGCTGATCACATGACCAAGCCAACATCTTCGGCTCTTCCCGTGGATCGGTGATCCGCTGTGTCCGAGGGACACAGTGCACCGCCAATCGCCATGCTGCTCGCTCCTGGAGCTGCGCATGCGCGGTGAGAATGGGAGGACGTCATATGACGTCCTCCCAGAAAGAGAGAACCGCCTTGCGTCCATCATTGGACTATATGGCGGGCGAGAGGCAGCCCAGTCATGTGAAGAATGAAGCCCAGATTCAGCAAGACAAATGAAATTATAGTTCTCTTCATGCACCAAAGCTCACAACTCACCTATTTTGCTTGGCAGACTTTGAGCATTGGTTAACAAACATTTAATTCATTACCACATTTTGCACACGCATTTTGCATATTGTTTTTATTGGACTGCATATTCCTGCACTGCAGAATTTGCATGCTGGTCACTTTGAAAATGTAAAACATGGTTTCATGATGCAATATATTATTCCAGAACAGTGCTTGTCACTTTTCTAGGCATGAAATGCAATTTCTGGTATCTCACAAGCTCGGGGTGTATGAAGGGGGAGTAGTGCATGTTTCACCCTTATCTCTCCCCCCACCCATTTATTGTTTTTTATTTTGTTACTTCAGATTTAGTCTTGCTTTTTTATTGCTAGGCTTATGTACCATAGGCAAACTAAGGAAAAGTGGTGTTTGACATTGCTACTTTGCTTGCATTTATAGACAATACCTTTGTCAATATGTATAGACTGGTAAACTATGTCATTATTTTTTCTGACATGTAGGTAATATTGTAATTTGTTTTACTATCACCTGAGTGCTTTGTTATGGTGTCATTCCACCCAAGAGGCTGATGTATATATCTTATAAAAATAATTTCTAATACAGAATGCATAAAAAGGGGAATAGCCCAGTGAGATGGGAAGGACTGGGATTACTTACTTTCTTCACATATTCCATACAAGAAGTTCACCAAGCATCCACAGGATTTGCACCATTTCAAAATGTTTTACTGGCAGAGACCCCATGGGATTGCTTGATTTGGTGAAAGAGACATGGAAAAGTGAGACTACTTTCCAAAAACACTAACTAAAACATATCTCTAAGATGTAAGAAGGATTGCCAATGTTATGCTGTTAGTGGAAGGGCAACTCTGGAATGCCTGGAGGCGCAGAGAAGAGTGTACAACTGGTCAGCCAAAGTTAAGCTATTTAAGGTTGGGGACTGTAGTAGACAGCAAGTTTATAGCCAAATGGCACAGACTGTTTGAGGTTGTGGAAAAGGTGGGGAAATAAAATATATGGTGTAGCAGCCGGTAAAGAGAAAACCCTACTAAATCTACCACATGGACCATTTGAAACCCCGTAGAGACTGAACAGGTAAACACTCTGGTTGATACTCCGATGGGTATTGACCAGGGGAAGGTTGCTACCACCACTGCTAGTGGTAGTTGGCTGCTTCATTTCATTTCCTGAAGGTGTTGCAGATCTTCAGGCTGCCTTCCAGTTTATGGCTGAGCTCTATGGTACTTGACTACTAGCTGTTATATTCATCTAAGACACCAAAAGGTAACATTTTCTGCAGCTTTTCTGCAATGGCTTTTCTGCGAGTTTCAAGTACCGTATAAATTCTTAATTTTACTTTGACATGAGGATTAGTCACAACGTCATGGCTAATTGTGTTAGTTTGGCCAGGTATATCTGAAAACAACTCTCTGAATTCAAGTAGCAGACATGATCTCTGACATGCAAACCTCTGGTATACCCTTTGATGGTGACACTTTAGAGTCTATATGCCGAAAGAGCCTCAATCCTTTCTACTTTATATGCAGAGAATGCATTAGGGTAAAAAATGCTATGACTTTAGAACCACTTTAAAAATAAAAGTAGGGCTTTCACCTCCCCGCCATTTTTACTTACCTAGGTGGATGCAGCATCAGTCCCCCTGCCGGCTCTAAGTGTGAAAACTCCGCAATCTCATGATCGCTGATCACAGCTGCTCTGAGCAGAGAGAAGTGACTGTCAGTCACCGCTGTCTACTCTGCCCCCTCCACGCTCACTGGAGTGCTGGGCTGTGCAGGGGGAGGTACCAGCTGGCTCAGGCTCTCAGCACGTTGCTGAGAGGCTGAGCCAGGTGCTGCTCCAGAATCTGCGGTGGATCTTGATTTTAAAGAGCTTTCCCCAGCCTGGACCGGCTGAGTGATGTCAGCCGACAGCGGACTTCAGTCTGCTGTCAGCTGAAAGCAGGTCACAGGACTGCAGAACAAACTGCGCTCAGGTGATCCACAGGAGAAGTACAACCAAAAGAGCTTTGGCTTTACTTCCCCTTTAAATATATTAACAGAAAGTCCATCTTTATCAGCCACTTTTTGTGCATACCTTTTGGGGTTCTAATAAACTGATACCAGCTCATCTGTTACAACCTTAAATGATGTGTTTCTGAGTGGAATTGCTTGTGGGTACTGGGTGACATTGTCCAGAGCTGCTAAACTGCTTTGTAAATATTGGGTCAGGAAAAAAAAGCTGTTAAGTTTGCGCTTTTTTTTTCTACGTTTAAATGAGCACCCACCAATACCCATCCTTGTGCAAGACTAAGGGAATCACCAGTTGCTCCACAACTCGCTCCCATTCCTTATGATACAGTAAGTCATGTTATAATGCAAAATGGGGGTATAACAGGCTAACTTCTGGTTCTTGGGGTACCTCATTTATCACCTTTACATTTTTCCATGCATTTGTCAGATTGTGATCTCGCAACTGTGTGGTTCCAAAATGATTCATGGCCATCCGTATATCCAACTTCTGGGATAGTTTCCTCTCACTCCCAAACTATGACTGCTAGTGGAAAGTTGTCAGGTAATTGTGATGTAGGGTTGTCAGCATCCAGGGATGTCTCCCTCCACCTACCTGCCCATTATCTCTTTGATAAAGACAGGTTTACTTGCTGCTGTTCCTCTAAGGAGGCTTCGTGGGCTACAGTCAGCTGTTGCACCTGACATGCAGTTTGCCTCTTGCTGGTTGGCATTTGCCAAGATGAGCGGTTTTACAAGCACCTTGATTTTGTTCAACAATATTTGTCATTCTATTTAAGGTGCTGCCTTCATCCAAGCACGAAGTTGTAAGGGGGCAATGAAAAGTAAAAATGAGTATCTAAGGCACCAACTGTGACAAAAAATAATAATAAAGTATGAAGCTTCCTCTAATTTAGTGGATGCACTCAAATGAAATTCTCTCGCTTTCCTCTACTGTGGGAGCATGCTGTTATGTGAAAGGCTGAGTACTGACAGAACATGAATAAAGTGCTGCTTGTTTGAGGATCCGATTAGGGGGGTACCCTGTTTGTCAGTAGCTCGTCTAAGTTTAGTTAGTGGCCAAGCAGATGTTTTGTTTTATGCTACAGTTTGCGGTCTTGCAGATTAGTGCAGTACAAACCTGCTTGAAGTGTTTCTGGGTGTCCGTCTTGTGTGTGATTTGCAGTTCACCGATGCCAATACCAACTGGGCATTGCCCCCTTACAATATGTGATAAAGCATATACTTGATGTTTGAGAAAGCAGTGCGCACCAGTCCTCGGATCCTGCGCATGCTCAGAAACGTGTTGCATGCTTATGACGTCACACTCCATCGTTGCTCCAGAGTGTACAGAGACTTGCCAGGCTTTCACATCAGGCTTCATCTAACACCTCTTCAGTGCTCCCTGCTGTCCAGCTGGAGTTCACATAGACTTGCCAGGTTTTTACATCAGGCTTCACTCAACACCCCTCCAGCACTCCCTGCTGTCCAGCCTGCATTCCTGTTCACCATTCCAGAACCCAGCCATGAGGCATTGTGCTCTTTTAACCCCTTATGAGCCTACTTATTACCATCTACATGTGAGTGGTTTAACTTATGTTCACCATTAAATACTTCTTCCAGTCTACACTCAGGTGCGCTGTGTTTCTCTTCGTGCTTGGATGTGGGCCTGCGCTGTGACTTTCTCTTTGCTGGATAGGGGATGTCTCTTTGCTGAAAATATGGAGCTGAGTCTTTGCTAAATATATGGAGATGTCTCTTTACTGAATATATAGATATGTCTCTTTGCGTAATATTTTGATTCATTGCTGGATTGGACTGTCTCTTTGATGGATTAGAGTTGTCTCTTTGCTGGATTGGGGATGTTTCTTTGCTGAATACATGGGATGTCTCTTTGCTGAATATTTTGGGATGTCCCTTTGCTGGATTGGGTTGTCTCATTGCTGGATATATGGGGATGTCTCTTTGCTGGATTGGGATTGTCTCTTTACTGAATTGGGGATTTTTTTTGCTGAATACATGGAGATGTCCCTTTGCTGGATTGGGTTGTCTCATTGCTGGATATATGAGGATGTCTCTCTACTGGATTGGACTGTCTCTTTGCTGGATTGGGGTTGACTCTTTGCTGGCCTGGGGATGTCTCTTTGCTGGATTGGGGCTATTTGCTTGACCGTGCATGTCTCTTTGCTGAATATCTGGGGATATCCCTTTGCTGGCTATATGGGCATGTCTCTTTGCTGCATTAGACTGTCTCTTTGCTGGTAAGAGATGCTTCTTTGCTGGCCTGGGGATGTCTCTTTTCTGGATTGGGGCTGTCTCTTTGCTGGAATGGGGATGTCTCTTTGCTGGACAAGGAATGTGTTCAATGTGAGTCTGTCATAATCAAAAGGCTTAGGACAGGTTGAATTTGAATCATACTTTGACAATAACTCAATCATGCAACCTTATACCCAAATGAAACAGTTATCTTGTTTTGAGACAGGGCTTTCTTTGGTGGTTTTTGCTATATACTGACATCCCCAGTAACACCAATAGTGATCAGTGCTAAAAAAAAAAAATGACACTCAACAGGAAGGAATTAACATCTGGGCAATCAAAGGGTTAACTGTGTGCCTTGTTGTGTTTTACAGTGTGCGCTTTACAATGTAAGCACATTGCTTTGTATTGCTCTAGATAGCAGAGCAATACAAAGCAGTGTGTAGGAGCTGATGGGAGAGATCTGTATTCTTTACATACAGGTCTCTCCCGTCGGTGATACAGT